AAATGCAGCTTATGAAGAACATAATTCCAGTCACAGAGAAAGCTAGACCTTGTAGAGTTCTGAAGAAGGTACGTTCCATGGAGTGGTAGATTATGTCTTTATATATTCCTGATAATGAATGTTGGAGCAAGAACAACAACTTGATAATGAATGTTGGAGCAAGAACAGCAACTTCCCCCTACACATAGAACTAGAGGATTTTCGCGAGCAGATGTTCTATTAAGGATTAGGTAGATTATCATGTATAGATGATCATACATAATGTAGTTTTGTATATTTTGAAAACAATGGTGTTGTAGTAAGTCTTCTTCTTCTTCTTCCTATTCTTCTTCCATTTTTTTTTATTTTTTTATTTATTTATTTTTTTTTAACTACCTTGAGAGTCTACTGTGTAGTTTATGTGCAGCATCATAAATATACATGTGGAAGTTGGTATATATAAATAAAGAGAAATGTTATAGGTACATAATATTGTACATAGGGTTTACATAACACTCACATTGTGTGGGACCTACAAAAAATAAAAAGTCAAGTGGATCTCACTCCATGTGAGTGTCATGTACACCTCATGTATTTTTATTATGTACTTCTAGCATGTTCCATAAATAAATCCATGCATGAAGATACATTAGCACGTTGGTCGTACATGGAACCAATCAGGAGATCAAATCAGGAGATGTTTATTGCATGCTAGATATAAATTTTCTTACAAGATTTAATCATTTTTTTTTAACTCAAATCTAAATCAATTCTACTATCTTCAATATTATCAATATAACTAAATAATATTACTCAAATATTATTATACATTGTAACAATTTTAATTCACTATTTATAAACTTATATACTTTTAACTAACCATCATTTCTCTCTTATTTTATATTAAACCAACTTTCAGTATTTTATTTTAAATATTATTTTAATATAAATTTAAAATCTCATTAACAACAAACACACAATTTTTTTTTTTTTTATAATTAACTATATCAAATTAAAAAATTCAAACAAAATCAAAGCCACGTCTACGCACACCGTCTATATTACTTTCCTATAATTACACCACTCGTCAATGATAATTTTTGGTGAATATTGAATAAACCTAAACACAGAAGCTACCCAAAACAGGGGAACAGACATTATTGCACACTCTCCTCCTTTTCAATTACTAGTTTTTAACCATGCATTTGCACGGAAAACAATATAATAGAACAAAAAATAATAAAAAAATATAAACAATAATAAAAATGATAATATAATCATTGGAAAAATATTCTAAGAAAGAATAACTAAATATTATTAAATAATTCTTTATATACAATATTTTTGATTTTTCTATCAAGAGAATCTCCATCACTACAAATCACTATCTTCAAATTAAGAAATATAATGGTTTTATTTTTTTAAATAATTGTTGTATTTTGTACTATAGATCATATAGGAAATTTAAAAAAAAATACTAAAAAAATACCAGCAAAATATTACAAAATAAATAATTGTATTTGTTTAATAAATAATGATATGTGCCAAATATTTAAGACATTTGAACAAAATGGCAATTTTTGGGCCATAAAGAAAAATATTGATTGAATGATAAAAAAAGTCCAAATTAGAAGTCCACTTAATTTTTTAGGGTAGCCAAAATCAAATATAAAACAGGTCAATGATAACATGACTATAAATAGAGATAAACTCCTTGAGAGTGATGTAAGCCATTTTTTTTTGTTTGAAAAAAATGTTGTTTTTGTGGCCAACAGTAGTGATCGGAAAATAAATATTCGTCCTGATTTCTTAATCTGTGTTGCTAAATCTTAACAGGTCGGTCAAATATTACAAATCTATAAAGACCTGAAATATTTTTTGTTAAACGTAGTTTTTACTTTTTATTATTTTCAATGATTTGTGTCGTTTTTCGAAATTCTTTGTGAATAAGCTTCAAAGATATATCATATTTTATACATAATTCGAAATTATTTAAATGTTTTTCGAAATGGTTTTTCGAAGAGAACATGACATTGGTCGAACTTTTTCAAACTTTTATGTATTTTGTTCAGGGTTTGAAAAAATAGGTAAGTTTCTAACAGATCTGTTCAGCTCTACTAACAAATATATAGGTAAGTTTACAACATATCTGTTCATATCTGTTTACAACATACATATGTAACTTTTATGTATTTTGTTCAGATTTTGAACACTAAATAGTTTAATTCTTTCTCGTCTTTCTCATCATATCAGTAAGTGAAACTTTGCTAACATTTGTTCAAAATCGCTTTTCGAAGTTGTTCAAAGTCTTTTGTCGAAGTTTTTCAAAGTTTTTAGTATTTTGTTCAAATTGGAAATATTAGGTAAGTTTATAACAAATCTGTTTAGATATATTTATCGCATATTAGGAATTTCTTGTTTAATATTTAAAAGGTCTGTAGGAATTTTTGTTTTTAAACTTTTATGCAAAAACTCGATTTTAATATAAAGGCAGATGCCTTGGTAAAAGTTGAATGTGTTGATAATGATAGGAAAATCAAATTATTTTTCTTTCTATATTGTATAGTGTCCAATAATGTTCCACATAATTTGTTGTGTTTTTAATTTGATTTTTTCATATAGATTTGACTTTTTTTGTTGATTATTAATTATGTTTGATATTTCTATATTATGCAACAATCTGTCATTACATACAATGTTTTGTTAATCCTCATTCTTTGACTTTGCCAATTTTCGTTTAATATGACTTTTCTGTTGCTGAAAGTATGGTTTTTAATGCATTAAAATATTGATGTTTTGGATATATTTTGATGCTATAATCATGCAGAAATTTGTCCCGCCACTTTTTTCTTAAAGAGGAATTGTTTAATCAAAATTAATCATATTTATATTTATAATTGTGAAATAATATTTTTTTTTCACAGCCAACAATTTTTTTTAATAAAAATATGAGACAATTTTATTCAGCACACTTTTTAATTTATAAAACAGAATGTTGATTGCGATAATCAAATCTGCAGAAATCATGCATTTTATTGAATAGTAGTAATATAAAATATTTTATTAGTACTACCATATGGAAAGTCAAAGATAGTTAATTTTGCACTGTTAATTATGATCATATGGATTTTTTTTTATACATATGTTTTTCAATGAACTTTTCAAATGATAATAACAATATAGACTTTGCTATAATAATTATATAGACTGTGCTATAATAATAATTTATTTATTTAATTAATTAATTTCTTTTTAATTCATCGTATTATGCGTATAGTCTAAGTTTGTAAATTATATGTCATTTAAATGTATATATACTACTAATTTATAAGGTTTTACCATTTAGGGGAGCTAAATTTTTAATTTTAATTATGAAACTAATCTTTATTATCATTTTGAAGCTATATGTTTGATGGAATATGGCTGGAAATTAAATTACAAAAAGAATAATTTCATTTTTTATATTGTAATGTAACATGATCTGTATTATAATGTTTGTATTTAATACATTTATTAATATTTTTTATAACTTCAATTGCTTATTCAATTCATAATGGAATAAAAAAAAATAATATATAGTTTCTGCACAACAATAATGACTGTCACGTTTATATATATAAATGAGAATAAGAAACATAAATGTGAGATTAACTAAAAGAAATCTTTTTAATTTAGTCATTAACTAATTAAGTTTAACTAAAAGACTTATTTTTAAATGTGAAACTAGTGAATAATTAATTAAAAAAAATGTAACTTATTTTGGAAAAAGTGAAAATATTTTTATTAAATGATTTATTAAATAGAATTAGCTAGTAATTATATATATATGGATTTCTACCGTTTTTCCTTATAATCACGTCTCTGGCGGTCTCCCCATCATATTGCAATAAAAACATAAAAAACAAAAAAAGGGAAAATCAAAATCAAAATACATGAACAATAAAGAAATCATGTATTTGGAATTGAAGAAAACCATGTTTTTCATTGGGTTCCGACTCTTTTTCTCTTTCTTCTTTCAGCCAGAATCATATGATCAAAGCCAAGTTCTACAACAACATAAAACAANACTATTCACAAGCCAGTTTGGTATCAAAGCTACTCAGGCATATCGCAAACGCCTGAAAAGCCGACAACGGGTACCTATAATCCATCGTGAACATATCCTTTCCCACCTTACCAAACTGCAGAATAATCTTATCATGATCCGACTGCTGCTGTGAGCCCCCCACCACCGCCCCACCGCCGCCAGCTGGCGGCGGCCCACCGGCAGCAATGAGCTGGAAATTCTTCACGGAAGCCACCGTCACCCGCCCACGAAAATTCAAACACCAGCACTGCAACTGCTCGTGCCACCTAGGCGACTTGTTCTTGAGCACCAAAGGCAACAAGGACAACGACTTGGGTCCGTCATCATCATCTGGGCCCACGCCCACAAGGCCCGTATCCGAAAAAAAACGAGCACTGCTGAACTCGGTCGATCGGTCGAGAGACTTGGAGAAAGAGAGGCTGCGGAAAGATTCGTCGAGAGGCCTCGGGAGGAGGAGCTCTGGCTGGCCGGGGACTGTGCCGCCTGGCTCGAGTGACGAGGCCGGGATTGAGTGCATTACGCAGTGCATTCGGCGTGGTCCCCGCGTGCCCAGCACGTTAAGCTCATACGCGATGTGAGCGATGCTGTAGCTGCCGCCAGTCGGGACTTTGGGAGAAACTTTCTTGGAGAAGCGGCGGCTTGAGTGCCCGGGTGGCGGCGGCGGGGCCGCTTGGCACCGTGCGTGAGGGGGCTGCGTGTCGTAGATTACGAACTTGGTGCCGAGGAAATTCGATCTGAGAAAATTTTTGAAACGAGTTTTTTTGGTTAAACATGGTTAATTTTGTAAAAGTTGGTATAATTAGTTGTTAGTGGGATTTTGAGTTTATTAAAATAATATTTAAATAAAATGATTAAAGTTAATTTGATGTAAAAGTATGAGAGATTATGTGAAGTGATGGTCAGTTAAAATTATGTGAGTGGATGAATAGTGAATTAAAGTTGATGTGATGTGTAAGATATATTGGTTTGTATTATTTAATTATATGAATAACATTAAGGATAGTGAGGTTGGGGTAAAGCTGAGTTAGATTTTAAGTATGAATTAAATGTGAAATATTTGATAAACAAACATCCCCTACATATGGAATCATATGATATATTCAATTCTATATATTTAATTTTGTATTGATTATGAATAAAGGGAAAATAGAATCAAGTCTTGATTCCATAAAACTACCCTATGACGGTGGTGATGAATTTATTTATTATACCTTAATTTGCCGATGTAAGTGCTGCTTGATCTGGAAATGTTATCGGCATCCATTGAGATAACGTATTCGGTACAAGTGGTCCGACGAGTTCTTTTTGCGGAGAGAAGAAACTTCCCATTCTCGACGAACAAAGCTTCAAAAAAGGCAAATGCGAAATTTCATAACAATACTTTGTATATTAGGTATGATCAGGCAGTTTGCGTGTGGGGAATAAATAGCGTGCAATTCACCATTGACTTACTGGTCATATATATTTATATATTAATATATGAAAAATTATTTTTTGCAATGTTTATATACTACTGACAAATGATTTCTGAACTGGGATGAGCACATTGATCATAGATGATTTATGATTAGCTAAGTTCATAAAGGACATGAAATGTATAAGTGAAATTGAAACATTCTTTTATGAGACTAANAATACATAATTGCAGTGTAAAGAATATTAACATGCCAACGTATAAAAGAGAATAAGACCAAAGCAACCTAAGACAAAGCACCAAACCCCGAGCACTCACCTGGACTAAGACACAAAAACAGATGATACGTCAAATTCGATTTGTCTCTCTTTATGAAGCATTGAATAGTCCCATCACGAGACCCCGGCTGCACATACAAAAAAACAAAAAGGACTCAAAATTCACTCAAATATAAAAGGGCACAACAATAACTACTCCGACATATACAAGCAGAAATACACCACATAACACACGAAATAGTTTCCAAAAACAGATTTGTCAGAAAAAAAAAAGGCCAAAATTTAACCTGTTTCAAAGATACAGGAAAAGTAAGCTTCCCACACAATTCGGGACACTTAACAATCTCCATGCACATGATCCTCCATGAGCGGCAGACTGCAGCACACGCCACCACGTGTTTTCGAGCAGGCCAAGTGCTCTCACTCTCCTCCAATCTCCTAATCACATCATAAAGCAGCTCAGGTGGGAGATTGGCCCATTGGCTATTCTGAACTACAAAAGGCTGATCATCATTCAAGTCGTGAAAGGAGCCTTGTGATTTCCCCCTGTGGTGGCCCACGAGCCTCACGTCGAAACTCCTTCGTGATAAGCTCCCGAAACTATCCCTTATGTCGCGAGCAATACTCCGGAATGACATTTATGGGCGTTTAGGAATGTCGAATTAGCTGCACAAGACAAATAGCTATTTAAGAAATGAAATCATTAATTGCAACGATGTAGAGAAAGGCACAAATGANATAACAGCTCCTGAAGTTTAGAAAAGTAAACTTGGTTCAAGTATTTCCCACTAGCTGAAAAAATAAAAAGGGAGTAAACCAGCTAAGAAATGTGTGTTTTCAGACAGAAGAATTCACTTGTTCAACAGTATTAGACAGCAAAAAAAAAAAAAAAAAATGCTACTTCAAATGCAATTATGCAGAAATCGAGTGAGCCTTTTTGTTTAACCAGCTCTTTATTGAATGGATGCATCTAAGGAAAATTCGCTTTGAAGTGACTGTTCCCAACGCACAACCCTCTGGTATAGAAAGTTTGGCTTGCTCTTATGGAGCAACCCCGCATACTCATCAAAGGTGCCGATAAAATTTAACAAAAGATACTGCAATTTGAAGTTTAATTCGGTTCATTACACAATCTAAATATCAAGCTGAGTTTAAGAGCACCGTTACATTATTGGAACCTTAGAATTGTTATATGGACCTGCATTTGAATAACTATGTTCAACTTACTGTATGGGGAAGAAAAACCATTGAGAAAAATCACGAAAAAACTAAGATGATACGAATCTGAGGAAGAAGTTGCAAACCTGTAGAGGGACGGTAAGAAAGAACAAAGCTCTTTAATTTCTTCAGAGATCTGCGAAAATAAACAACTTCCATAAGTATGTAAGCTCAAACATTTGCAAAACAACAAAGACAACGAGAAAAGACGCAGTATTTGGCTGTTCCAATAGAAGAAAAAACATGTTCCGAAGCTTAACCGTCGACCCTTTTTCTCCAAAAGAACGATTA